TCAGCTCCGGTCGTGATCTCAGGGTCGTGGGACTAAGCCCCGCGTGGAGCTCTGCTCTTATCATGGAGTCTGCTTTGAGATTCTCTCTCCCCCTCCCTCTGCCCCTCCCACTCGTGCTCTCTCTCTCTCTAAAATAAATAAATAAATCTTTTAAAAATATATACATTATTCATCTCTTAAGTACTTGGTATAAAAAAAGTCTATTTCCTATAGTGGGTTCACGTCTCAGACTTCAACTATGTTACCTCTGTAGCTATTTCATCTGGAAATGAGAATTTTAGAGATTATCCTAAAATAAGTAATTATTAATCATAAAATAGGTTGCAACAGGGGCACCTGGGTGGCTCAGTCAGTTGGGCATCTGCCTTTGGCTCAGGTCATGATCCCAGGCTCCTGGGATCGAGCCCCAGGTTGGGCTCCCTGCTCAGCTGGGAGTCTGCTTCTCCCTCTCCCTCTGCCTCTCCCCCACCCCCGCCCCCGCTCATGCTCTCTTGCTCGCTCCCTCTCTCTCTCTCAAAATAAATAATAATAAATAAAATCTTTAAAAAAAAAAAAAGAATAGGTTGCAACAGCAACCCATTCTGCCAGTAAGTTGCCATCCACCCACATTGCTGAAAGAAAAATTTGCCAGGAATGGTTGTCTTTTTATTAAGGTTGTTTCACTGGAGTTTAATATGACTTTTTTAATAATCTTATCTATGAAATATTTTAAAATGTGGATGAATTAGTATGGAATGGCTTAAGAGTGATCTAAATGTTTTATAGGGTAGGAAATAAACTTTTCTTCTACCCTCCTAGTTTTTTGCCTGCAGCCTGCAAATTAAACTAATGACAGATTAACAGAAGAAAAGGTATATAAATTTTGTCCCATGTCAGCATTTTAATTTTTATCTGCACAGAGGCCTTCACAGAAAAGAAGTAAAGACCCAAAGAAGTAGTTAGACCTGGAAGCTTATATACCATTTTAACAAAGGGCAATAAATTGTAGAGAAGTGACAAGATAAAGGAAAGGGGTTTGGGCTTCTAGGGCCATAAATTGTGGAAAAGTAAATATATGGGGGAAAGTAATGCAAGATAAGGGATATTTTCATAAGGTTTGTTTGTGCAAACCCATCCTAATGTCAATTTTCTCTCTCCAATGATAAGGATGTTCTTCTCCTGTTATGGAAGAGGTGAGAAAGAACACCTTCATAAAGAGAAGTATATGTCCTGCTTTTAGGCAGATCAGGAGACAGCCAGAGGTCTTTCTATGTTTGCTGATTCTTAATTACCTTCAGCTCAAAATAATCCTTATGTCAAAGTGGCATATTTTGGGGTGGCATATTATGATCCCCTTCAGTTTTAAAGTCTACTGTAAGCGTCAAAACTCAGCACATACATATATACATTAATGTTTTAACTATCTTCTTTAAATGTGCCTTAAACTTCAAATACTTTTATTTTCTATTTATTCCAAAGGTATTTAATCAATTAAAATTAATATGTCCATACAATATGTTATTAATGTAATTATATATTATGATTACATATAATATACATTAGGGTAATTGTATAATTATAGTCATATAATTGAGTTTAAATATGTGTATGTGTATATATATGTTTGTATTTAATAAAGTAGATCTTAATTTTATTGATAATCCTTAACTATAAAATTTTAAGACAGAAATGGAGAAAGGGTCGTGCAACTATGCCATGAACTCCTTGAAATCAGACTGTCATCTTTGTATATTTATCCCTAACATTTGATACAGTATACATACCCATAGGCACCCATTAAATCCTCACTGAATAATGCATGTCTATAAAAATGAATTCCTCCCATTTTCTTTTTTTTTAGGGTGGGGAGGGGCAGAGGGAATGGGAGAGAGAGCATCTTAAGCAGGCTCCACCCCCAGCACAGAGCCCAACACAGGGCTCGATCTCACAACCCTGAGATCATGACCTGAGCCAAACACAAGTGTCCAACACTTAAGCGACTGAGCCACTCTGGCACCACCCCCACTCCCATTTCCTATTTTAAAGTCTGATTGGTGATATTTAGGATGACAATATAATGTGGCCAAATTCCAGAGTGCATTTTTCTGAAATATCTATAGACACTTCATTGAAAATAAACTGGTGGTAAATTGAATTAACATATCAAGTACTTTTGTGACTATTAAATATAAAAGACCTCTTCAACTATTGCTAATAGATGTTATATTTAGAGAGTACTTTGCATGTGCCTGTATTTCCAATAGTGGTTTTTAATGCAGGTAGAAAAAACCAGAATGGGTGGTATACTCATAATAACTAATTAAGTCCTAAATACACTCTAATGTCATAGTATAGCAATAGGTACATTAAGATGAGATACTGCTTTCATAAGGAAATGCTCTATCTCCTGTGAATTATACACAGAAGATAGAACTATGATTTGGCAATTTAGAGAACATTCTAATTATCTGGAAACAGTATTTCCTTATCTGTTTTGCCTGTGGCTAGGTTTATCAAATATTTTATTTTACCTGGAATTGCTAATTGAAGGTCTCCATAAGTGCTTTAAGAATAAGAACAGACTATATTACCGTTTACTATGTATCATTTTATTTAAAAAAGAATACTTTGTCATGAAAATTTTACTTCTCATTCATAAAATAAAAATACTTTCCAGTTACTTCCCCCTATGGTATTAAATAAAAAATAAGCAAACAACTTTTTTTTACATCTGATATCCTGTCTTTTTGAACTTAAACCTTTACAAGAAAATAGGCCCTCACAATTTGGACAGATACTACTCAAACCACAATTAACAAGTCTTTTCGATCGGAACATTCTGAACCAAGGTATTATCAGCCCACTCTTTCAACACTGACACTGAGACAAGTATCACCAATTACCAATTCATGATGTTAGATATTCCTGTTTTTCAAAAAGAAAAACCTAAATCTGAATGCACATTTAAAAGGCGAGGCTCCAGATAATAATGTTAAACAAGTTTGGTTTTTTGTTTTTTTTTTTAAGCACACAAAAAACGGTTCTGCTTTCCCCAGAACTCCACTGTGTTGCTTGGATGTCTGCTCTTGGTGACCTTTGTTATCTGCAAGCAGCTTGAGACCAGTAATCAGTGGCCTTGCCCGTAAATTTGCCCTGAATCTCACTGATAATGGAGTAGACGGAACCAAATTTTCACTCAGAACTCAGAAGTAGGAATTTTTGAAAGTGCTCTCCCAGCGTAAGCACTTCTTATTTCCATTTTCACATGTTTTATTCTCTTTCATTCATTAAGAAAAAGATTTTTGTCACCAATTTTGAATTCAAACTTAATCATTCTCTTGCAAATGTTTGTGCTTATGTCCTTACCCTATAATCTAATTCTCAGGCATTTGATTGAAGGATCATCAGCTCTTCCTCGCAGGCACACTATTAGAAGGCTGATTACATTTCTAAAACTTATGTTTCTAGAATCTCTATTTCTGCTTATTATTTGAATGATTCTTAGTGGGGAGATTTTTAAATTTATAAAACAAAAAGGGAAAAAAAATCCTCAACAATTGCTACGTAGACACAGTCTGTGAAGAGCTTGTGTAGGAAGTGGATCCAGATTGGAATAAGTTTTCTTATACATGACTCAACGTGGTATTACCTCTGGGTTCACGTTTCAGATCTCAAGGGGTTTAGTAACAGGGAAACAGGATCTGTTTCCTTTTATCTAGCTGGGCTGGTGGCCTCACAACTGGAGGTTTCAGTGATGAGCGGAAGTTCAATAAACATTTGTTAAGTAATATGTCAAACAGAAACATTACTGATTTTCTTGAGGCAGCATAGTACGTTGCTGTTGTTTCAAAATGTAATTGGTTAAAAGCTTGCTAAATAGTGAAGTTTATTTTAATCGCAGGAAGTAGGGAATATTTTTATAGTTAGGATACTGGCCAAAAGAAAGCAAAACCATCAAGAGCCATATAATTTAAAGTTGTTTTTTTTCTTTCAAGGAACATGTGATTTCCACCTGTTCTTTCAAAAAAGGAATAAAATTAGCCTCATTATAATAAATTAGTTTTAACTGGTTTGGGTATTGTGACTATTGGGGGATAAATAAAGTCGTCAGCTGCAAAGAAGAAGAGTAGAAATAGGGAGCTAGGGAAAGCCTGACAAAAGTACAAAGGGAGAGAAGAGGAGAGGGTGTTGAGAACCAGAAAGGGACTTGAAAAAGTTAAAGACACATCTAAGTATGAGATTCCCGGATGTCCGAGGTAGGCTTACATGGAACAGTGTCATTTACAAAGCGGGTTGGTTTGTGTTCTGGAGATTCCATGTCAATTAGCCACATATTAGTCCAGCAGAGCCCGCCCTGGGCTCCCGCTTGCGGGGGCTGCTCATCCTGGAGATTCCGAATGGACGGGCATACAGTTCACTCAGGGGGGCTTGAGCCTGGAAGTGTCTTTATAGTCAGTCCGTTTGCCTCAAAAATAAAGAAGAACTATTTCACACTACCTAAAAATAAAGCTTGAAAGAATTTATTCAAGCAGTTTACCAAGGCCTCTTTTATCTTGCTGTATTCTCTGTAGACCAAGATATTTGCATCCAGTTCCTCAGCAAAAACCTTGAAATCGTGTGAGCTGTGACACACAGTGTTACACTTGTAGCACTTGTGACTTACACACTACTTGTGTATGCAGTACAAAATTGCCGTCAGTGCAACCTGCCCTGGCCCCGGCGTAGCCCATCCTCGTGTGCCTGGCCTAAAGCAGGGTCGCAAACTGCGGTGGGCACAAGAAAAGGCAGCGTTGCTTGCTTTAACTGCAGATTCCCGAGTTCCATGCCCAGTAATTCTGATCCAGTAGGTCAGAGGTAGGGCCCCGAAATCTGTGTTTAGCCAGCAAACCTCTCCCCCTGGAGACTGTGTAGCCAGCGTCGGGACCACTGCTAGTTGAATCAACACCTTTCCTTAAGGAGTTCTCTTCTCTTGTGTTCATCTGTACAGACTGGGGGCTACTTGTAGCCATAGGAAGTAGCCATTCGCCCCCCACCATCCCGCACTCCCGCAAGGTGCTCCACTGAGAAGGGGTTTGCAGCCTCCTGGCGTGGAATTCAGCAATCCTATAGAAACGAAATCACAAATGTAACTAAATGTGACTTAATTCTCAGGGCTCTTGTTCAGGTTCAGGATGGGTTAAGTGCACTAGGTATTAAGCCCCTCGTGTAACATTGTTTCTGAGGGGGAAAGAGGATGTGTTGAAAACAACTTAGAAAATGTTTAAATTGCTTAGACAAATTAGGAACAGTTTAAATTTAGAAACGACCTTGTGCCCCAGGTAGATTGCCTCTGATTTTGCTGTTTGAAACTCCACGACCTTCTGGCTTCTACCCAGAACTAGCATTCCAGGACCATCATTTTCTAAAATGCTGTATTGTCTCTTCTTTCGTTTGACCTACCTATGCTTACTCAATGTTTAGCCCCTTTTCTGCAAAAGAAGGATCCGATATGATAAACAAAAATGAGTTCTGCTGATTTCTGAACTACGCTGCGTCCTGTTATCTAGATACTGTGCTCTGGGCAAAGTGCACCCTTCCATTTTCTAAGGCAGGTGGTAACGAACAAAACGCTTTCTCTGTTCCCTCTCCTACTTTGTTCCTTCTTGATACCACTCAAAAAAGGATGCCACAGGATGTTGGAGATAAAAATCTGCCTCAGGCTAGAAAGAAAAAATATGGCTGATTTGTGCCCGATGACAATATTTGGATTCCCCCAAACCCCAAATAAAATGAACTAAAAGAGATTACAGTTTCTTTTACCCCGATTGTTCTTTGTTGCCCAGGTCATTCAGAAATTTTGGTCTCTTGTTTCTTAATTCTTTGCCATATGGCTTACACTCAGGTGTAAAGTCACCATTTCATCATGTTTACCCCGTGAGGGCTTTTCATTTCTCTCCACTTTGTATTGGTCATCATGCGGCCTCCTCATCAGAGCCAGACTAGCTGGGCTCTTCTGTCTCACTGATCAACACATGGTAGCATATGGATCAGGGCAGTTAGGTAGAAGGCAGACCAGGAAATTTTTCCTCATGCTTCTTGATTGGGTGAATTCGAGGAAAGATCTCCTATAGAAATACAGTTTCATTTTCTTGAAAGACTGATCATTTTACATGTGTATGGAGAATACTTTTACCATAAACTTCTCTGATTAGAATTACAGACGTGCATATGCAAGTAGAGAAGTGGGAAAAGATGTATCTGTGCTGTGTATTATTTTGTATACATAGGTTGGCATTTCCAAATGACGAAGCATAAAACAAAAACTGTCCCGTTTATGGCCAAGTAGACTTGCATGCCAACAGAAAGACATGATGGTATTAAAACCATATGCAATTCTAGCCATTTTTTTTCTCTTTTCTCTTCATGGGTATTGCATGATGGTATTTCGAATACAAATACTAATGTGCTTTGGAAATAATGGCACTCGCAGGTCTTTCATCATATTGTATCACTGCTTTATCATATTAGGCTAATACACTGCGAGAGTTGGTAGAACCTCTCCATGCCAAATCGGATCCACTTCTGTTGGCACTCAACCCATTGGACTCACAGATTGATAAGCTAATGTTTAGAGAATTTAGATCGGAGAGAGTCGGCACGGCGCAGACTCAACATCAACCTCTTGCAAGCAACTAAAATGGCCTCGTCCTTGCTGTTTATAACAGAAAACTGACTTTTAAAAAGCTTAGACCATCAAGTGTTTTGGATTGGGGGCCTCCCTAAAGGGATATTAAGAGGGGCAGGCCACTCTTAAGAAGAATGCAAGCTTCCTACACTGGGACTAGCATAAGATCAAAGCCCATCAAGATGGAGCACAGTGACAGAAAACTGCCGTTTCTGTGGGAGAACGGAAGGGGCAGGGTACTGACTGGGGAAGGGCTGTGTGTGGTGACACCTCAGTTGTGTTCTCCTGACACCAGGAAAGGAGAGGGATCAGCTCCGATAACTAGAAAACCCTGGCTATTTAATGGACTCTTTGGTGGCCTCTTTAAGGCAAAGCAGAGGAAGCAAATTCTGTGTATTAAGTGTATTTTGCATTTTTCAAACTTGACGTGCTGTATTGTACTAAACTAAGTGTAATCTATTAAGGCAAGGTATACACACCCTGCTCTGAAATTTACTATGTTTATTCTATTATCAAGTGTATTCAGGTGCAACACAGAGACTGCTTTCGGTGGCACTAATGAAGAAAATTCCTCATGCCAGGCTTTATTAGATTCCTCAGCTAAAATCCTAACTTTCTCCTTATTTCTTGGCACTTGTATACAAATGGTGTTGCCTCATAGGACAGGCATGAGCTATTCTTTTTCTGTAAAATTTTCCGAATCTATAGGCTGTGGTTCTCACTTTTGAAAAAGTATTTTGTCTGGATGTCTTTCAAACTAGCTTCAGATATTATTTAATACTATGTAACTGGGTCCCCTATGGCTCAATATTGCTTATTTTTCTTCTGTAGTGGATGTGAACTTTCCTTAATTTAGTTGGATTAAGACACTCTGTAATAATTTCAATGCTAATCAATGGATATTTCATACTGTGCAATGAACAGATAATTTAACATTGTATTTGGAAATGTTTTTTCTCCTTCCTGTCGCCGCAGTGTGTGGTACTGCATAATGTGAATACCTGTAAAAATATAAATTACTTAAAAATAAAAATATGACCAGTTGGTATCAAATCTTTTTAGATAGCTAAATAATTTGCTAAGTATGCTTGATAGTAAATATCTTTCCAAAGAGAAGTAATCTCTGCTTCTTTCTCACAAATGGAATTTGTGTTGTGAATAAAAATCACATTGATCTGCCTTACAATTGCCTCTGTGCTCTAACCATTTTAGTGTGTTTTTTAAGTATATATGAAAATGATGGTTGTGGTTTTTAGAAATCCATCAAAAAGCTTTTTTTGGCATTTAATATTAGTGAGGTTATCTTGGGTCATTCTCTGTTTAAGTCATAGTAAAATGTTACGATAAGAAGAATTTTCATTTTTTCTCGTTGAGGCATATGGTGACTCTACATTAATTTTTTAATATAATCGTGTCTTCGCTTTGGTTTTAAACCATCCTCTTTATGAATTCCTGCCTGAGAGCCAGGTACTTTGACCTCCATGTCTCTACTAGTAAAATTTTCTGAATTCTATGGGCAAATCTAGAATCTGTCATTTATGTCTGTGATTGTCCTTCAAAGAACCTTCCCTGTGGATCAATAAATCAATGCCAAGGACACCAAGACTTTGCCATCTGAACTATTCATCATCAAAACTGCTGTAGTGCCCTGAAAATTCAACCACTGTCTTATTTATGGCATTAAACCACACAATTTGGCAGAAATTACATGCTCAGAGAGTGAAGTGTAGAATAAACTTCAGTTCTGCCTCTTTTGTCACATCTTCTTGGAAGTAAGCTTTCCTGTTGTGCAGAAGGGATTGACTGACACTAATGTGGGCTATACTTAATTTTGATGAAGCACAAGGTCATTCTTAACAGGGATGGGCTTCACATGCTGTTCTTTAAAAAGGATTCACTCCAGCTGTTCTTTTAAAAAAAAAGGTGTTTTCTCACTTGAAATCATTTTTTCATCATTTTTTGCCTCAAAGATGTAAATTACTTTTAATTATGAAAAGGGTGGTTGAGTACAGAGCAAGGAGTAAAAGCCAGCTCTTAAAATCTTCTGCTTCTTTTTTTTCTGCTATAACAAACTGCCCTCCCTCCAGTTCTACAATGCTAGGCATAGCTACTGGCTTATATAAAAGCATGAATTAAGAGATCTAATATTTAATTAGAAGACAATTCAAATTAGAGGGTAAACTCCTGAATGCATAATCATCTTTAGCATAAAACCGAGAAACATTAAACCTGTCTACATTGAACCCATTAAAAGTTTAATTGGCACCTTACATATAAATAAGTTGTTTGTTATGGCGTGCTAGCAAATTAGTATTCACGGAAACCAGTCCCGTGTCTCAATGCAAATGTTAATTGCCCTTCCTGACAAGAACAGCGCTCCACCGACGTGACGCCCTCAGCCTGGCAGCCTCCGAGCACTCTGCGGCTGCGCGAGAACAGATGCCTCTCACATCTGACCGGTGACTAATGCTACTAAGTCCAGCCTTCTCTCCCACTTGTGACTTAGCTTTTCCCAGCCTGCTGTGCTCGTGACCCAGCTGTGTTGTGGAAGGAAAAACTGTTTCCACGAGGACATCATTGTCCAATTTTAAAAAGAGCACAGTTACCTTCCAAAACATGTCCCAGAAACGGTTATCCGTTGTTGGCTTGCTTCTTCAAGAGCCCCCCGTTGGTATACGCATCGCGTTCTGTTTGGTTTTCATGTGCTCCTCTCCTTCAACATTGTCATTGCAGGGGCAGGGAGACGGGGAGGGCACCAGAAGGAAGTTTTAGGTCTCCAAATTCGTATTCTGCTCTCCTTCATGTTCGCCAAAGAAACCTGAACGAAATCACACAATAAACTGTCATAACAATTACACAGTCACAGAATAGGGAGCCCTCTTTGGAGTACTTCATGTATAAAGTAGAGGAAACCATCACTCACTTGAAACGTTGGGTGCAAAAGGCACCGTGCCTGGGAGAAGAGTGGGAAATGCAAATGAGAGGGAGGTGTACTCTGCCCGGGGAGAGTCACAGTCTCGGTCTCAGTACATATGGGGCCATTAGGTACAGGAGGAAAAAACATTGGAATTTCTCCTCAGGTTTTCTAACTCGTCCTTTCGAATTTATTTTCTGTGTCTGTTTTATAACATGCATATCTATTAACATACAATAATACATGTATGTAAGTTATCAACAATGGAAGTGTTTTAACTGGTAAAGAGGAACAATCAAAAAAGTTTGGAAACCACTGAACATGAATGTAGGGAAATACGTCAACCAAAGACCTTTTAGTATCTGAGAGAGGCATTATCATCTGCTAATAAGCCATTTGCCAGAAAGTTTCAACAAACTATGTATTATTTTGCGTTAGCTAATGTTTTCCCTTGAGCTTTGTTTTTTATCACCACCCGGAAGTCATGTGCAACCTGAAACAACCGGACAGTGAATCGTTGTGATACCACATTCCTAGAGTCACCATATTCCATAGTGTAGTTAGAGTAGAAATGAGACAATAGAGGGTCTTCTTTCACCCCTGCCAAGTAGGACACAGCCAGAAATGACCCCCCCCCACACCCCGCAACGCAGAATACAAGTTGATCCATCAGTAACTTCACTATGATCCTCAGATTATCAGCCAATGAAATTTTATATCGGAAAGACAACTTTGTATGTTCACTTTGCTTTAATAAAATTGGAAGAGTATGTCATCTGATACAGGACTAATTTACACATTGTGAACATAAATAAAATTTGGGAGGGAATTTCTTCCTCCACAGACCCAGAATTCCTGAGTAAACTGGATACAAATTAAAATTTCATTGTAGCAGCGATACACATCCTCATTAGGAATTGCAGAAGGTTCCTATATACGTCCTGTGGTTCGCATGTGGTCTTCTACACTTTGCAAACTTTCAGAAAACGTTCTTTCAAATTGCAAATTGCCAGTGCTCCAAATGGCTGAACTGGTACATTGAAGGAAAGTCAATTGGGAAGCCGAACTCAAAAACTGCTTGCCTCATCTTCCAAAGCAAGCCTCGCCTAGAGGAAGAAAAGCCGAAGTTTAAAAAAGAGAAACCAGAAGAGAAGTGAGAGGAAGAAGAAGAAGAGGGCAAAAAGAGAAGAAAATAAAGGTGCTTTCATATTCTCAGTTGCAACAGTAGCCCCAGTTGACTTAATTGGTATTCTTCTGAGAAAAAAAATCAAGGAAACCAATTGAAAATTATAAAAGAAAATAAAGGTCTGTTTTTGTCTTGAATGTTGAGTTCTGTGTTGTTTTGACCGTTGAGCACAGTGAATCAGATTTATAATGTCACTTTGCTCCTCACCCCCGTCCTTTGGAAATAAAAGGACTCCTTGTCCAGTCTTAAAATGTTAAGTAATTGGTGGCATTTTGTGGTAGCCTGGCATCTCAATCCCTCATCCTTTCTCATCCCACTACTGTGTCCTGTGGTGTTGCATATGTGTATGATGTGTATGGATTGGGGGGAAGGGAGCCTTACTTATCTCTAGTAGGAGCCGCACTATTCCATTAATATGCTTGGAAATGTTTCTGTGTTCCGTCCCATTGTGATTCCTTGTTCAGATGTGCTGCCCAGAGATAAATCTATACTGAATTCTTCTTAAAAGCTGTCAAACCAGAGTCTTCGCAGAATTATGTTGTCCTTTAACGGCAAGGAGGGGGAAAAACGTTTCCATTTGTATTTATTTAATAGCTGTGTGTGTCAGTTTTTAATATTAAGTCTTTACTTATCCTTCTTAAAGTAGGACCACATTGAAATTTTACAAAAAAGCCAATCCCCTGGCCCAGGATTCCACAAACTTTAAGAACTGGGGAGAAAGAGAACTGCGCAAGAATGTTTTTAAACAAAATATATACTCCCTACAGTATTAGGTAGTTATCTTAAAATAAAAATTTACTATATAAAATATAAAAAATATTTCTGCCTCCCTTAAATCCTCAAACTACATTCTGAATCCCTTTTTTTTCTTCACATTCTTTCAAAAACTGAAAAGCTACTAATCCATTAGGCCACCTGATACAGTAACCACGGTAATACACATCAGTTAGGCCTCCCACCCACCCACCGCCGCCCTCCCCCCAGCTCTATGAAATTACATCTGGCTTTAGAGGCAGTCTTGCCCTGAGGCACAAAGAATGATGACTACCAAATAATTCCTCAGGGTCTTTTCTTGGCCTATGATGTATGAAATGGAATTATGCTCTTCCAATGTATCCTTGTTTTTACAACTCCCCTTTAGTTACTCTCAATGACCTTATGATTTTGTGCCTTCCTGGCTTCAAACCATCCTCAGTCAAAATTCCCTATCTTATTTCGATCTTGCTCTTAACCCCCAAAGCAGTTCCTCCTTTTCACAGTCCTCCATTCACCCGTCCTTCAAAATCCTCTAGGTGTTGCCGACATCCAAGGATGAGCCAACAGAGAATTAAAAAGCTGTTGTTTAAAAGGGATTTTTGTATGTTTATAGTTCTAACTTAGGCATCTGATTAGGAAGTAAAAAATTCGTTAGAGAGGGATTAATGATAGCGTGTGCTGATGATAACAAGGAAGTTTCTAATGGAAGGACTCAATAACCCTACTGACCATTAGTTGCTAACCTCTGCAGCAGCGCCAAAAATTGAATATGAAACTGAGAATGAAGCTACTTTTTACTGCTAAAGGTGATCCTTTCAAGTTAAGGTACTGTGTTTATGGGCTTTGGGGGCCGTTTTAGTTACACTCTCAGTTTTTTAGAATGCTGCTCTTGAAGGAATTCTCACAAATTCGTCCACGCCTACTGTTACGTACACAGTTCAAATGACCACTGACAAAATTGGCAGTATGGGATTCTTGTTAAAATCGTGGATTCTGAAGCCAGACTGCCCAGCTGCAATTCTGGTTCCACCACTTACACTTACTAAGTATGTCCTTGAGCAAGGTGCTTCCCTGCTATAAAATGAAAATCAAATAGATCTCCTCTCAGTATTGTGAGAATTAAGAGAGACCATGAATGTTAATCATTTACCCTTCTGCCTGGCACATATAAATGTTAACTGCCGTTATTAGCAACTAGCAATTAGGGAGTCTTTTTTTTTTTTTTTAGCTATGTCAGAAAGCCTGAAATATTCACATGGACCATGGTGGAAGGAACAACATTCCATGTTTACTCCTTGAGCCAATATAATTAGCATTCCTCAAATAGTACTCTTTGGCTCTCTATTAAAGGAAACTTGAGATAGCCCTAATCCTATCTACCACTCAAAGCAAAATCCGAGTTTATCTTTATCATTATTGAGAAAGATATGACATCAGTAGTCAGACTATTAAAGAACAAGATGGGAGTTTGATTTATTCAAATAGATCTAAGATCCTTAACTGAACCAGTCTCTAATTTTTTTTCTCAAAAACATTTAATTGGAGTATTTCCTTCCTAGATCTTACAAATGCTAAGTAGCTTCTGCTAGTGTGTGCCAGATTTTTCCTTACATTTGCATATAAACATTCTCATATTTCATTTTAATGAAAGCATTATTATTAATGATAATTTATGATCATTTACTAGATTTACAATGTGGCAGGCATTACTATGGCAGTCACATGAAACCTAATAATCCTCTCTGGTACATTATTGGAAGATTTTTATAATCAGATATACTCCAGTGAATGCCATTCCATCTTATGCAGTCTGGAACAATGTAAAAATCAGTTCATTCAGTATTGCTAAACCAAGAGAGCTCTTTTAATCAGCACTTCTTTGCTTCTCCGTATAATGATAAAGGGTATTCATTAATGTGTTAAAATATTATGTGCAGGATTGTTTCTGTGTTGTGTACCTTTTGTATTTTATCTTTGAATTTAATGGACTCAAGATATGTACGGCGATTTGCTATTAAGAGAATATTCTGTTAATTAAACATCATATTATTTGACCATTCTAAAAAATCTTACCTAATATAACTAGCAGCTGTGGGGTTTTTTGATGTAATATAGTGTTTTCCCAATCATTCATTATCCTGTTTTTCAGATGGTTTGGATTTTTTTTTTAGTAGATTTTTGGAGTGTCCATTACACTGGATTCATTTCTCTCTCTTTTTTTTTTTTTTTTTTGGACATTGCAGGTGAAAGTAGGGAAGAAAAGTTAGGAGATTCATTGCAAGATTTATACAGGGCATTGGAGCAAGCCAGTCTGTCACCGCTGGGAGAACACCGCATTTCAACCAAGATGGAATACAAGCTATCATTTATAAAGAGATGTAATGACCCTGTGATGAATGACAAACTACACAGGCTGAGAATTCTCAAAAGCACTTTAAAGGTAAGATACAAAATGGAAGGAGAAATTCCTTTCAAGAGATTCATTCTTGAGCTCAGTGGATTACCAGATACTCTAAATGAAGAAATACAAAATGGGGAGGTGGAGGGGAGGGCAGGTAAACAGGAAGAACCTGAAGCTGAGCTGTTCCTATAGCATCGTAAGTGCATTGGTAAAGAGGAAATAACCTTAACTTTTCATTACCATCTCAAAGCGTTGGCTAAATGTTATATGACCTAGTTCTAGGTGAAAACAGGATGTAATTGAAATTATTTTCAAAAATGTGGGGCTGGTGTTATTCCTCGGTCTTTCATTTTCCTAAGATAAATATGCCATGTAGTTATTAATATAGTTATTAAAAGAACACAGCATGCATGCAGAATGCAGTAGTGGGCCCTAAAAGGCTTTGAGATATTTCGTGAATATCTCCTGCAGCACATTTGGAGTGAAGCCACAGTGATTCATGTTCCGTGTACAAATGTTATAATTGTTCTGTTTACACTATCAGTTCCCAACTCACATGTT